AGACAAAATTTAAATTTTATTGTTGTTGTTGTTGTTGTTTGTAACCGACAATCTTCTTCCGTCAGTCAACGATCACGTTCTTATTTAAATTTTTTTTTTTTTTCTTCTTTTGTTTTCAGGTTTGAAGCTTTTGCCCGTTTTAAACGACATCCGGTAAGTAAAATATTAAAATAAAGAAATGCATCCAAACGTACGTTATCATTTGATAACGTTTTTTTTTTTAAATTTTTTCGCGACGGTTTTCCCTTTTAACCACAACGATCTCCTGAGCCAGAGCCATCATGTCCACATCCGCGAGAGTGAGAATCCCACCCGAGGAAGATCCCGGTACTTCCTCTTTTTACCCTTCGAGAGGCAGTCCCGATCTCTTACCATCGTTCCTGCCTCTTTAGCTGAGAGAGAGAGAGAGAGATGTCTGGGGTCGCGAATCCCGTTGACAGCTCGTCTGTCTTCCTTTCACAGACTTTCAAGTACCCAGTTTCATCCCCTCGAACAAGGATCAGGACATCCCTAATGCCTCGAAAGGGTTCCAGGTCACTTATCTCCTTATTTAGGTGCAGGTCTCCCACTTCCAGGATTTGAACCCACGACTCTCAACTCGGTGACTTTCGGGCCAATTTTTCCCCTTTTCAGACTCAACCTGGTTTACCCCTAGCGGACATTTAGTTTACCCCCACCCTTAAAACATCCTCCATACCTTGGTAGCCTCCAAGTAGTTGGATTACAGGAGTATACTATCCCACTCCCGGCTAACTATTCTCCCCTTCCCTCTCTCAGTTTTTTTTTTTTTTCGTCGTCTTTTGAGACAGCGACAATCAATCAACGTATCCTCCAACACATCGTTTTTGTCTTTCTTTTTATTAATGAAATGATGGCGCCGTGGCAGGAGATAATAATTACAATTCTTAATCGTATACTTTTGTTTTTTACCCGGAAAAAAAAAAAAATGTTTGTTTGCAACAACAACAATAACAACAAATCTATCGTCTGGTTTATCCAATTGTAATTTTTTTTTTCTGTCTGTCTGTTTGTTTGTTTGTTTTGTTTGTTTTCATTTGATTAAACGAAAAAAAGAAAAAGAAAAAAAAATTTGTTTATATTCGTTCGTGTTTTTTCTTTTCGTATTTAAAATTCAAAAATTAAAAAGAAATGTTTTGTCGTCTGCTTGTCGCGATCAATATCAGCGTCTGTTTAATATTTCAAGTTTCCGTTTTTTTTTCGATTTAATTAAAAATTTTTTTTATAATGAAAAAATCAATCAATCAATCAATCGATCGATCGATCAATCGTTTTTTAATATCGAATCAATTTTTTTCGAAATTTTTTTCGTCTGCTTTTAAAATTAAAATTCAAACGAGGTTTTTTTTTTGTTGTTAGGAAAGAGTTTCGCGCCTTTTTCGTAAAACTACAACCACACTACCAATTTCGAATTCATAACTTCCGGTTTTAAAAACGGTCACGTATAGTGAATACGTATTGTTTTACGAAATCGCTCACTCTCTCTCTCTCTCTCTCTCTCTTTTCGAAATCGTTTTTTTTTTTCGTGGATGACGTCAAAGGTCTTCTGCTATCTACGATTACGATCATGTTTTTTTTTTAACCTCGGATTTAAAAGTTTTTTTTAACCTTTTCGAACGTGTCGTATATTCAAATGAAAAAGAGAAAGACAGAGTGAAAGAGAAAAAGAGAGAGAGAGAGAGAGAGATGAATTCAACCCCCGGAACACGTAAGAAATTCACGTTCTTCCGTTTCATTACGTCAACTTCCGCCCGGGGAAAAAACCCCAACGACAAACGACAACAACAACAACAAGTGATTAAAATTTTTGTTTAAATGAAATTATTATTATTATTTTTAGATTTGATGAGGACGAAGCGAACGTGCGTAAGTGCGTGAGTGCGTGAGTGCGCGCATTCGTGCGTTTTTTTCGTATTTCCAGATTGAAATAAAAAGTTAATTTTAGTTAACCGAAAACAATTTCATTCTATTTTTTCCTTCTTCTTCTTCTTCTTCTTCCGTTGACGAAGACGACGACTGCAAAGATGGTTTCTTTTGAAAGAAAAAGAAGGAGAGGCCTTTTTTAACGTTCGTTAACGTTCGTATTTTTTTTCATACTCGAACGGTCGGTTCGTTTTAAATAAATGTTTACCAGTAACGGTACCCGAGAAGTCGATGACGTCGGATGACCAAAGACGACGACACCGTCGTCGTCGCCACCACCACCGCCACGACCGCGACCATCATCATTTTGTTGATATTCCGTGTCGTGCCTTATTTGATTTGCGAATTAGTATCATTACTACCGCGTGATGTTGCATGACAGTACCGAATTCAGGAAAAATTAAATAACTATACTTGTTGTTTATATTTATCACACACGCACGTTTTACCTTTTTTTTCTTTTCTTTTGCGTGACCGTGCGTGACGGCGACGATGACACGATGAAGACAAAAAAAATTCACGCAAATAATAAAAATTGTAAATTGCGTTTATTTGTTTTCGTTTTTTTTTTTTATTTTTTTATTTTTATTGGTTGTCGGCGATTGTTTGTTGTTTGTTGTTGTTGTTGTTGTTTTAAACTCGTTTGTCGTAGGGAAAATTAATAAAAAAAAAAAAAAAAACATAAAATGACTTGAGGACTTTGAATGTAAAAAATTATAGATTTATTGATTTTATCGATAAGGAGGTTAAATTGTTCAATCAAAGGTTTTTAGGTTTGTATTACGAGAGTCGAGAGTTAGAGGGAGAGAGGAGGGGAGAAAAGGGGAGGGGGAGAAGAGGGGAAAGAGGGGATAGAGAGAGAGAGAAAATTTCCTTAACAGAGGCCCCCTTCAAAAAAAAAAAAGAACGAAAAATTATTTTTAAAAAGGGTTGGTGCCCATTTCCAAAACTCTATATATTCGAGAGACGACTTCGAAAGAGACTTCGGCCTTGTTACAAGTTTATTAGTTTTTTTTCTTTTTTGTTTGTTTGTTTGTTTGTTTGTTCGTTTGTTTTATTTACGCAAGAAAAAAAGCAAAACCGTTCGCGTTTTTATCGACGAGACGAGGATATATATACATCCTTTCTTTTAAAAGGTTTGTCTTTTATTTTATTTTCTAATCGGGTGGAAAAGGAAAAAGAGGAAGAGAGAGAGAGGGGGAAGGGGGTACGCTTACGAATCTAATTCCACGATAAAAGGTTTTGGAGTTGAATTGGTTTACAGGTACGTCTTTCGTATAAAACTTTACGTAAGATGAACAAACACGCGAACGCCTTTTTTTTTTTTTTCTCTCATTCATTATCATTATCATTATCGTCGTGATTTGATAATTTATCGTCGTCGGAAATTCTTTCTCTATGATTTTTATTAAACCATCATAATAATTATCGTGTAGGATTTGGTAATAATAATAATAATAATAATAATAATATTAGCAACCTTGAATTAATGATAAGTTACGGCACGTTATCCGTTATGTATGGTTTTTAATGAAAAAAATTATTACGTTACGTTTTAATTATTATTATTATTATTTATTAACGATAATAATAATAATAATAATGTTGTGTGTGTGAAAGTGCGCGCGTTTGTCGTTGTTCGATCGATTGTTTTCGGATTGAAAAAAAAAAAAAAAAAAATTAATGTCGATCGTTTCGTCGGAATCGTTTTCGTATTTTCCCAAAATTTGGGAAAATATTATCGTCGGCGAAAAAATAAAGTATATATTTAAAAAAATTTTATTTTATTTTAAATGAGGGGAGGATGAGGGGGGGAACGGATGGGGAGGGGGGCGAAAGGAGAGAATGAGGAAGTGAAAATCGAGACGGTGAAAGAAAGAAAGAAAGAAAGAAATTCTGTCGGAATTTAAAAAAAAAATTTTTTTATTTTATTTTTATTTATGTGCGTTCGTCGGTTTCGAACGTCTGTTGCGAGTTTTTTATTTTATTTTATTTTGTTTGTTTGTTTGTTTGTTTTATTTAGTCGAAAAGCTGTTGAAGTTCCCGAATTAGCTGTCCAGTTAGTCGTTTTCGACGAACAAAGAGAAAGCGATGAAGCTCAAGTTTTGCAAAGGCCGAACGGAGTCGATTTAAATTCACATTTGGATGTTTTTTATGCGATACTTCGACAGGTGAAATTTTTTATTTTTTTAATAAATGATGACGTCAAAAAGAACGTGCGTGGCAGAAGAGAGAGAGAGAGAGAGAGTGCGTGTGCGTGGAAACAAAAAAAAAAAATTTGGAATTTCACGCACACGCACGAAAAAAATTTTTTTTTTTTCTCTTTCTTTCTTTCAATTTCGATTTCAAATTTTTGGCCGTGACTTTGGCACGCCTGCTTCGTGGCCGAGACCCCCAACATTCATTTCGACTTTTTTTTTTTTTTTTAAGGTTGCCGATACTCCTCAAGAAATACCTTTTCTTAGTATTTTGCAACATTTACTACGAATCGATTCAAAAGAAGCTGTGAGCGATATAGTTTGGGACACAGCGGAAACTTTAGTACATAGAGCGACCCTTGTTGAAAATAGACAGGATGCCACAAGACTTTTAAGGTCCCCGAGCGTTCAGGTTTGTTTTATGAAAACGGACGGGGAGAGTAGCGAGGAGGAAAAGAGGGGAGAGAGAAAGAGAGAAATTTTTTTTTTTTCTTTTTGCAGGGAAAATTTTGTTGCCATTGCGCTTGCCACGGTCACAGAGGAGGAGGAGGAGGAGGAGGCGGCGGACTCATCAGTGGTGGTGGTGGAACCGAATCTATTTGTAGTAATAGAAAAGCATCTCTAATTACTACTACGATACCGACGTCACCACCGCCGGTACCTGGAGTGGGAGCGC